TTTGTATCCTTATTTTTTTATTTTTTTTTTATTTTAGTGCACCCTACCCGTTGTTCTTTTTCTTATTTTTATTTATTTCTTCTTCTGGGTTGTCTGGAAGAGATTGCTATGTAGCAATAAGACCGCCCTTTGTATTTCCCTCAATAGTTGTTTATTTTTTTATTTTTGATGTTTTTATCTTTTCTTGGTGTACAATAAAGAGTATTGTATTGTATTGTAAGTAGCCTAAGTTACTCCTTATAACATCAGTTATCTGTCAGTGAAAGTCCCGTCGAAATCGGTCCAGCCGTTTCGCAGATTAGCCGGAACAAACAGACAGACAGACAAAAATTTTAAAAATTGTGTTTTTGTTATAAGTACCGTATATACTTTCGTATACATTTAGTAAAAAGCTGTTATTTTGATATTACAGACAGAAACTTCAATTTTATTTATTTTTATAGATTTAGGAAACTTTAGCGTGTCAGCTCGTCCTGTTCTACAGAAGGCAGTCTGTTTTCCACTAAGTAAATTTATATATTTTCGTACGTCCGTATTTTAAAAATAAACAACGACGTAATTATCACATTATTATTAGTCTCCTTGTAAAGGTCGTGTATTAGCAATTCGCGAGGCCTCAGGTTATAGATTGTTCGTATCGCTTGCTTTTGCAAAATGAAAATGACTCTATAGGACAAGATACTGTGAAAGTAAGCAAAGTAGACTAATTTAGCTATTGCTTCATCTGTCAGCTCTCTAATCCCTCGCATCGACTTGTTGCATGAAACATTATAAAAACTACTATAGTACCTATATATAGTTACTATGATAATAACGTACAAATAAGTACTTCATGTTTTCATGGATTTTGAGACAGAGTAAAACTTTATATTTTTGGAGATATATAAAATATTTATCTATTGTTTTTGTATAAGTAGTTACGTCTGTGGTTGAAAATAAAATTATTTATTTGACATAACCATCCTAGTTTTAATACTAGCCAATAACACAGAATAAATAATCCAATGACAAACGTGCCGGTCATTCGCCTATGGCGGAACGAAAATTTTCTATTCTAATCAATCTTATTTCCAATACAGTTAATAAAAATATATGTAAAGGATCCATGTCGGACCTCGGACACGGCCAAGCCTTGCTGCGAATAAAGCCTGGCAATTGTTCTCCATCCAACGTTGGGTAGCCTTATTGGGACGTCTCGGAGTCCTATTGATAAACTCCGTATTTGTCGGCGAATTGCGTACCACATTACTTCCTATGTCATTCTGATGATTTGTACCTATATAATCCTGTCCTGAGAATGTGGCTATTCTCCATTGAGACTGGTCGCCGCGCCTTGACCGAAATTCGGTCTGGAGGACATTATTATTAATTAAAAAATATATAATATTCATAACTAGCGATCCAAACCGGCTTTGCACGGGTGATTTCTGGATCTCGACAGTAGCGCCACTTACTGGGTCAAATTGTGAATACCTACAAACCATCCAGTCCAGAGACCCAATCAAACACACACACAAAAATTCATCGAAATCGGTCGAGCCGTTTTTCAGTTTAAGCGAGACTAACAGACAGCAATTTATTTTTATTTATAGAGATAATATTGTATGTACAATTGTTTTTTCTTTCTTTTAGTTTTCCAGTTTCTGCAAATTCTGTTTCTGACACAATAATATTTATTTCAGTGAATTCTTAAAGACGAGTTAAGATGGCACCATCTATTTACTCACAATTATATCAACATAGTTACGCTATCTAACACTAGAGGTCAGGAAATAACATTCATAATAATTATTTTATTATAGTATCATATAAATAATAACTATAGTAAGACTATTCTTTAAATATCATTATATAAATAAAATAACTTTGAGCAGAAACATTGATAAATTTGATAAAGTTGTGAATCTGAAGAAACGTAATTTTCGTTTTTCTTTATTGATCGGCAATTCAGACTCCTACATCTGTTTGGTACAAAATAGTAATATTATGAAAATTTTTTCAAAATTATTCATATTTTATTCTAATAATATTCATATTCTAATTTCACATTCATATAGATTCAAATACTAAACTAAAACCAAAAGGATCAAACAATTAATAAATGGCTGCAAGCGCCATCTCCATATATAATTACAAACTTGACAAAATTACAGGATAACTTTTTGTTGCACCACAGCGCCTCCCTTTTTAACTGTCAAGCAACAAGCAATGAAAACTGTCAAGTGTCAACATTTTTAATTTCAATGTTTGATAAGAAACGTCAGTGAGCCTGTCGCCATTACATATCCTTTTCGCAATTTCTGTTTTTGAAAGAAATTGCTTATGTCAAGTAAATAGCGCGCGATTTGTGTTCTTTTTAAATTTATATTATTATATTCAACAGCGCATTTTGTTTGTTTAAAGGTAAGTACCGGAATTTGTATTTAATTTTATTACATTTGTTAGTATTCATGGTTCTAAGTATTTTATTAATAAAATAATCATAATAATTTTGCTATACTAACATAATTGCAGATGGCACCTCCTAGGCGAATATTAAGACAACAATTGGAGATTTTAATGGATTTTTTGGAAGAAAATAAAGATATGTCTAAAGGCTTGCCTCCTGGTACACCAGTATCACACCAGGCAACTAGGCAGAAGTGGGCAGCTTTAGCCAAGAAACTCAATGCTGTTCAAACGGGTGCTTTGAAAACACCCGATGGTTGGAAGAAAGTGAGATTCAAAATATATACTTAGTAGTTATTATCAGCGAATTGCTATAGAAATTTGACTGTTTTTATTATATTAATGCCCGCATGATTCCTTTTTGAAGTAGGTAGAGTTCTCTGGGTAAAAATATGGGTTATAAGGACTCTCCCTATCAACGTCCACTGTAGAACATAGTCCTCAGCAAAGATTGCCTCATAAGGGGGATATTTACCATTGTTGCCACACTCGGCAGGCAGGTTAACAAGCACAGTTTTTATTTCTTAATTGTTATTAGGAATATGATGCTGCTTTTCTCCCTTGTTTGTTTCTCTCTGTCGGCTCTTATAATACCCACAGACAACATGGGTTAGTGAATAATCTTACACCTCAACTATGTGATAAATGTATAGATGTTTAGTGAGTTTAGTAGAAAATGTTTAGATTTGTATTAGATAATTATTCTATTAAAAAACTTAAAAGTGTATTATTTTCTAATTAGGATCCTTTTTTAGTACTGGTTTGAATGGAGACATAAATGCAGAAGAAAAGCAGCTGATGCACGAAGATTTCAGTCCTCTTCTGATGGTGGGCCCAATAGATTTGTACCACTTAATGACTTAGAAGTTAGAGTTCTAGAGCTTAGTGGAAAAGGATCAGTTACAGCTACCATGTCATCTTCTAAACAATTAGAAAACTTTATGGCTGAAGATTCCGATTCAGAGCAAAATACACTTGACACTCAAGTAAAAACTCCTGGAAAAATGAAGCAGTCCATTAATATATCAAAAGCACACACAGGTATGCATTGATGGAATTAAATTTTTCTCCCATTTTTATAAACCAAATCATTGAACCTTTTTAAATGTAGTATCCCATATTTTATATTATTTTAAGAAACGGATTCTAGTATGAGATAATTGAACAATGGCTATGGAATATTTACAATACTAATGCAATGACACATTTAATTTCCATTTCGTTTCCCTAATTTATATGTACCTACTTGTACATATAAATTACGGAGTTTGTGTGTAATTCTTCATGTAAGTGAACAGTGAATCAACATTATTATTTTTAATTTGTATTTTTTACAGATGGTGATATTCGTTCTGTAACACCACCTCCGAAATGGGCGCTAGAATTAGAGGAGAGAAGGATAGCAGCAGAGGAGCGAATGGCAGAAGCATTGGAGTCAATTTCTGGTATCATGCGAGCTCAAGAAGAAAGGCGCAGTTTGCTAGAGGATCGAGTGGCAGATGCATTGAGTGCCATTGCAGGCACTGTACAGGACCTCAACAGTGGCATACAAGATGCCTTGCAACACATACAGCAAATGCGTGTGCACACAAATGGACCTACAATAAAAGAGGATGTGTTTTTATAGAGTATGTGTTTTACTGAGTGTCATATATTTAGGGTTAGTTTAACTGAGCAGTTTTATATCAATAACAGTCATTTCCTAACTATTATAAAACATTGTATAGTTTTTATGTGGGCACATTCATTTTATTGTGTAGTGTGGAATAGTATAGTGTATTTTAAATTAAATATCTATGAAATATTTAAGCAATTTTTTACCTCTTTTGTTTTATTTTTTATTTTGTACCAAATAAATACCAGGATCGGTCTGAAATGACAGACTAATACCTCAGTTTTGATTACATAAATTACGCGATTTAAATAATGTGTGATTAATGTTTTACAGTACAGTACAAGTCAGTTACAGTATGTTTTCATAAAAATAAGAAAATGCCTATACCTAACAATTATTTTGTAGGCATTTTACTATTATAAATGCCTACAATTACAATTATTGTTATAGTAAAATGCCTAAAAAGATAAACTAATGATACACTTTTTTCTCTTGGTATGCAATTGATGGCGACATAATAATGGTTTCATATGGTAACAGATCTAAATAAATCCTGATGACAAGGAGCAGGGTCAATATGGCAATCGTCCCAAGATTGCGAGAGGCCCAGCAGTATTATGATGGGTTAATGAATAAGTCTTAAATATCATAATTTAATAATCTAAATATTTATTTTTAAAAAATGATGATATTATTTTAGTCAACTGGATCCACAACAACAGAATATAGATTTATAAAATAAAATAGCCAACACTTATTCACTGGTCTTCATATTATAACTCTTCACTGTAAATAAAGGTGGTAATTTTTGGTCTGAGTACAGAAAGAAACACTTTATTTAGGCACAGATCCTGGGAATGGGATCCTATAATCGCTATGCTACCACGGCTTATGATTATGCTCATTTTTATCACCCTTATATAATTTGTCGACAGGTATGGAAGCATTAGAAACTAGTATAAATTACTGGGAGGATGCATTGGCGGCATTTTCGTTAGGAGCGCGTGGCGGTGTATCGGGCACGCTCGCGCTCACCTCGCCTGAAGAAGCTGAGTTCTGCCGCGAGATACAGGAGTTGCTGCAAGATGCATATCTTTTGCAGGTTATTATTAAATTAAAATTTTACTTTGTTAAAGTAGAGAAGACAAATCCCAACATTTTTACTTCAATGTATCAAAATGCTATGCAACAATTTTTCATCGCGTTCTTAAACGTAAATAATTTATTTAAAATACGACAAAAATATTTCTTATATTTTTTGGGGGGATAACGCAAACGTTATTGAAGGTAAGAGGATCAATAAAACTCATGGGAATAATTGCAACTAAGTTGTCATATGTACTTTGTATGTTTTCCATTCATATTTACATTCCCGTAGTCGGTTTCGCTCTTTTAGTTAACATTTTCATGATAAAATAGGCTTTCCACTTATAGAAATGTATGTATGTCGCTTAATTGACGCTGTTCTGATATAATTGAAGTGAAAAACGAGCACACAGTCCATCTGATGGTAAGAGAAAGTAGACATCTAAGTACATCTAGCCTTGAATCAAATCCTTGTATCAAAAGGTAGAGGCATTGTCAAACCTGAAGACTAAGATGGAATGTTTCGTTTCTAGTAAAAAGTGTCTTCGGATCTCTACACTCACCACATAGCAGAATTAAGCGTCTACTTTACTCTGGTGTTCTGTGAGAACTTGCCCCGTTCGAGCCGACCCATTCGTTCTACAACCATAATATAACTACAGTGTGTTGCGTACCTATTTAATGAATCGTGATCGTCATTGTAAAGCATAATGCTGTGATATAAAAATTTGGAACGACTAAACGAAGCGCCTGAGTGAGAAGCATACTGCGGAATGGACGGCGTGACGAGATCGGAACACTACTCGCCGATACTACTAGTACTCCTCTGTCCTAGCTGCTTTCGGCTACAGCGACTGTTTTTGACTCCTACATCTAGTGTTACTGCACCGCCCGTTTATGTGTCCGCAAATGACTAGCACAGCACAACCGATAGTATTACGATGACTGTCACGCAGCACGTGGATAGGGTTTATTTGAAACATTTCTTTCTAAATGAACTATTTTCATGTTACCATCTAACATGTGTTTTTATACATTATTGTTTAATTTAAAAAATACCATTAAAAGTGGTTACAGTATAAAATAGTACCTGATTTCTTGCACATCTCATTCGCATTGCGTGCTAATTATCATAATAGTAGAACGTCCCAAACAACGTATACTCGTTGTTAGTGCGCGATGCTAGGCGAAATGTTTGTTTTGACAGCCAAAACTTGAAACTCAGCCGTGGATGTCGTAAGATGCGACAGAGGGAAATTGAATCATAGGAGATGGACAGCAGCATCTTTCTGATAACAACTTAAGCTATAAAAAAACTGCCGTTGTCACCACGTCTGCAAGCGTGGGAACTATGGTAAAATCCGCCCTATGAGGCAATCTATGGGAAAGACCTATGTTCAGCAGTGGACTTTTATAGGTTGTAATGGATTGATAGATAATACCTACAAGAGTGTGCCTAGTCACGGCGCACGTCCCGTCCCGCCGCATCCAGTCTCAGTGCGGTTATCTTGCGTGCATAGTCCGCGAACGCGTGTTAGTGCCGCCGCAGCTGTGTCAAGTGTGAGCGTGTACAATGTGCAGGAGCGGTGCGAGCTGCTGTTCCTGGACCAGCGCTCGGTGCTGTTCCGGTCGGAGAGCGGCGGCGAGGCGGCGGCGGGCGCGCGCTCGCGCCTGCTGTCGCACGCGCACTCGTCCGACCACACGCGCCGCGAACACCACTCCAGCGCCGAGTCCTTCGCCTCCGCCGAGGATCAGGTCGCCCGCCACACTCTGTATTATACTCATTCATGTCTTGCCTTTCAGCTTTACAGGCTACGAGCCGTTCTATCTAGCTTTCAAGGGTAACAACGCTCCTGCGGGGTTTTCAAAGTTAGTTGTGTATAGCTAGCAACGCAAAGTCGGGAATTTGCATTTGGAAAAATCCAAAATTAGGGGCATTTTAGGTGCTAATTAGGTGCCAAGTTTAAAAATTAGGTGCTCTAAAATTTTCACCGCAACGAATTGTTGAAATTTGCGTTGCTTGCAAAACGTCTCGCTAGCAATGCAATGAAGTTATTAGATATACGATAAATATTAATAGCAAGGAATTAAGTGCTAATTAGGTGCTGCAAGTATACGCAATAACAAGGCGCCCCTAATAAAAATAAACTCGTTATTCTGAACATAGCAGATGCAAAATTCAAATTTCCTGATAATCAAAATAGAATCAAAATTGCTTTCAGAAAAAGTCCAAATTAGGGGTGGCACAATGCGGATTTAGACCTGGAAGAGGATGCACGGATCAAATGTTTTCTCTCCGCATGATTACGGAAAAGCTTTAAGCTGCTAACCAGAGGATTTTCTGCGCTTTTCTGGATCTTGAGAAAGCATTTGATAAGGTTGTAAGAAAGAAAATGTGGGAACTGTTGCCGGGGTATGGTGTGGATGGTCGATTGCTAAGGCCTATGCAGTCACTTTACTGTGACTGTAAAGTCTGTGTGCGGGTAGAGAATGACCTGTCACCCATGTTTAGCGTCCAAACGGGCGTAAAACAGGGTTGTGTCATGTCTTCCTGGCTGTTCATACTGTATCTCGGCAGCTATTTACAGAAGCTGAAAGATAGCTGTTTGGGTGTGAAATTGAGTGACACTAAAGTAAATTGTCTGCTGTATGCTGATGATGCAGTGCTTATTGCACCATCAGAGGCAGAACTGCTAGCATTAGTCACGTGTATGAAAGAGGAATGTGAAATTAAAGGTCTCCGTTTGAATGCTAATAAAACTAAGGTTCTGGTATTTGAAAGGGACGAAGAGAGAACGAAGTGTGAAATATGGGTAAATCAGGAATGTCTAGAAGAGGTAAATGAAATTGTATACTTGGGGAGTGCTTTCAGCCGGAATGGAAGATGTGATTTAGATGTGGACAGGCGTGTTGCTGCCGGGAACAAAGTCAATGGTGCCCTGACTGCGTTAGTCAAAAGGCAAGGCGTAGTGAAGAGTGCACGCCTTGCAATACATAACGCAGTGTTGGTACCGACTTTGTTATATGGCAGCGAAACCTGGGTATGCCAGAAGAAGCATAAAAGCAAGTTGAATGCAGTGGAGATGCGATCTCTTCGTAAAATGTGCGGCGTTACCATGGCCGACCGAAAGCGAAACGAAGAGATTCGCAATATGGCAGGTTTGAAAGATGATCTCACAAAAATTGATAAGGGCGTGCTTCGATGGTTTGGGCACGTCGAGCGAATGAGTGAAGACCGAATGGTGAAGAAAATATATAGCGCGAAAGTAAATATTAAAAGGTGTCGAGGTAGACCGAGACTAACTTTCGAAGACCATGGAATCAAATTGCTCGAAGAGGGGAGGTTCAAGAGTACTCGGATACCTAGACGTGCATGTATGAAGAAGATAATGAATCTGAAAGAAGCGAAAGAGGTATGTAAGGATCGTGACACTTGGCGATCTGTTCTCTCTGGCTACCCCGTCAGGGATTGTGCGTGAAGATAAGTATAAATATAAGTATTACCTCACTATAAGGTATGAACGGCGTGTTTTGTTTTTCAGATTTAATATGATTATATTTGAAAAAGGTTGAAAATTGGTTGAAAATTATCTATACATATAATAAAACTGTAAATAGCAGATGTCTGTACATTTTATATTTTTGTAATAAAAGTGATTGAGGGGTACTAAAAATAAGTAATTAAATACATTTTTACCATTTTTAGAATTTTCTGTCTGTCTGTCTGTCTGTCTGTCTGTCTGTCTGTTTGTTTGTTAACGTATCACGTATAAAGTACTAATTTATATCATAAGAATTGTTAAGGAAATTATAAAGTGTATCTTCGGGTTACATTTAGTCTTTATTTCATTAAAATCAGTTCATTCCATCAAAAGTTATGATAAATATTCTGAAGTATGGGTAGGGAAGTATAGGTACGAATTTGCTCAACGGTGGCTTTGTTTGAGTCATCAAGTGCATTTTAAACTAATATCATATCATAAATCATAGTTAAATTATGTAAAATAATGATATAATTATGTATATCTAAAATGCAGTAAACAAAAGTATTAAAGAACGTATTAAATATATTATACAAAAATATATTAAACCTTATTAACTAAATCTGAAGCACAATAGTTAACCCATTTCTTCGATAGATGGTGGTGTAGTGAAAATGTAACAATGTGGTTTTTTCCTGTAGATGAGTTTTCATATTTACTGCTAATCTTTATTATATTACTCGCTGCCCTATTGCGTGTTGACAAACTCAATTTATTCTTTACCGCCAAGTACTCTATGTGGTAAATCAAATTTTAAAAGAGCTATTAACAATTGCGTTGGTTTTGGCGAGAGTCAAACTTTATTTTTTGCTTACTGTGCAGGCACTGATTTATAAGTTCTCTTGCGTTTTATATAATGTATCAATCGCGTCAATTAATCTCTTTTATTTTTAGAAGAATTGATGTTAGCAGCGCCATCTCTCTTTAAATATATACATCATATAATAAAAATGATGATAACATGTTGTGTCTCTTTCTGTACATTGTATATATATTTTGGTGGCTAAAATCATTATGGGGAACTGAAAATAATTAAATAAGAACATTTTATAATTTTTAGAATTGTCTGTCCGTCTGTTTGTCTGTTATTATATGAACGCATCACGTCTAAAGTAAACATCTTTTATTTTCAAAGAAATCGTTAAGAAAATCATAAAGCGTATCTTCGAGTTACATTTAATCTTTGTTTTATTAAAATTGGTTAATTCTATCGAAAGTAATGATTATTATTTTGAAATGTAGGTTCGAATTTGTTCAATGGCGCCATAAAATCTCAGAAATAGTAATAAAAAGATTTGTGTGTAAAAAAAACGTTCCATAATAATTAATATATTTATACTTAAAACACAAAAAGAGATTTAAAAAGGATGTTTTCTCACACAAAGGACGTAATAGATGGAGTTGCACAAATTACAAACTTTTCTGAATTGCTGTGTTGAGATTTTTCACCGATGAATCGTATTGAGACTTACTGAAGAAATTTGTATCCATCGAAGCCATACAACGGAACCCGACCAAAAATAAAAATTTTGCAACGAAATGTCGTGATATTGTATTTATAATATACGCAAAATCAGTACTGCCATTTTAGCGCTTTGGGAACTAGATTTAGCGCTTTTTTGGAATGTATAGCGCGCATTTCGAAATTTTAGCACCTAGCCTAATCCAGCGCTTTTTGGTGTATTTAGCACACATTTCAATATTTTAGCAACTAGCGGGTTATTAACTCTTTTATAGCAGCACTGTTAGTTCACATTACCGATAATAATAATAATGACCTTTATTATTTTTTCCCACAAATAGTACATTGCAGTTTATCTTTTTCAAACATATTTTTTCCACAAAACAAAGAGCATGGGAGACGAGTCCAAACTAGGATATCCTGTGCTATGGATCTCCTGGCTTCCCCTTTAGGATGATCAACTAGATTATTTTACCGACGACTATAAGCGGGGAAATCCCCTTTATTAAAGTTTCCGTTCATGGTTTTGGCAACGCATTTATTTTGCTTTATTCAGTTTCAGTCAGTTGCTTAGAGCACAGCTAAGTTAAAAGTTACTTAGAAGTTATAACACAAAGAAACTGTGTAGCAACCGCAATCAGATGCTGACATCTGAAACTAAGTTGCGAAATACATTGCACTTTAAAACAATTAATGACATTTTTATTGTTCGTACAGTACTAACTACTATTGACAGCAATTGCCATAATTATAAGTCGATGTCCTGCGAAGTATTGATACATCAAAAAAATATTGCCAGAAAAAAAACTTAATGTTGTTTTCTTTATTATGATTATATAAAAAAACACAAACTTTGTTTATAGTTAATTTAGCGCGAAATCTAGGGCTTTTTTAAAGCGCTGTTTTCATGAAATCTAACGCTTTTTGTGTTGTCCTAGAGCTGAATGAGTTTTTTTTTATCTGGCAGCACTGCCCAAAAACCCTCTATTAAGAAGTAACTTTCCTTTCGGTTTTAAGCGCGTTCAGTTCCCAGTTACAGTGAGCGTGTGTTATGCGATGACCGTAAATAAAGCGCAAGGTCAAACTTTACGCGTTGTAGGAGTGTACCTCAGTACTGACTGTTTTTCACATGGCCAACTCTATGTTGCTTTTTCCCGCGTTAGTAGCCCCCGTAACCTTTTTGTGTACACCCCGGCTAAGCCTACTTCTAACGTCGTTTACACAGAAGCTCTATCATAAACGACTTAGAACTTTGATGATAATGATTTATTTAGTTACCACTTATTGATACAGTAATGAAATAAATCGTTTAATATTCTCTTACCTAAACGACAAATTCTTTATGTAAAACCTGTATACGCGAGCTACGCCGCGGGCACAGCTAGTATTAAATAATATTATAGATTTAAAATATTATTTAATATAATTTTCAATCAAATAAATGTTATAATTCTTATTTTTAGACGTGTGAAGCCTAAACTTTAGTGTACTAAATCGAAAGGATATTTTCTTTCCAGTAAATTGCTTTGTAATAAATAGAGCCATCTACAACGTTCTATAGTTCTAGTTATTTTATCAAATCAAAATCGATGGACTCTTAAGGTGGTAAGTAGGATAGACGCTAGATGGCACAAACACAAAGACCTGGTTTTCTCATTTGCTTTGCTGAATAATTTTCTGAATAACGACTTTATTTTTATTTGGGGCGCCTTGTCATTGCCTATACTTGCAGCACCTAATTAGCACTTAATTCCTTGCTATTAATATTTATCATATATCTAATAACTTCATTGCGTTGCGTGAAAATGCGTGAAAATTTTGGAGCAACTAATTTTTAAACTTGGTACTTAATTAGCACCTAAAAAGCGCCTAATTTGGACTTTTTCTGAAAGCAATTTTGATTCTATTTTGATTTTCAGGAAATCTGAATTTTGCATCTGCTATGTTTAGAATAACGACTTTATTTTTATTAGGGGCGCCTTGTTATTGCGTATACTTGCAGCACCTAATTAGCACTTAATTCCTTGCTGTTAATATTTATCGTATATCTAATAACTTCATTGCGTTGCTAGCGAGACGTTTTGCTAGCAACGCAAATTTGAACAATTCGTTGCGGTGAAAATTTTAGAGCACCTAATTTTTAAACTTGGCACCTAATTAGCACCTAAAAAGCCCATAATTTTGGATGTTTCCAAATGTAAATTCCCGACTTTGCGTTGCTAGCTTTACAAAACTTTCAAAGTTGCCTTTCTTCAGTCGTTAATGCTATTAGAAAACTATAAAAATTATCGGAATTGTCATTTCTTGCCATTTATTCACATGATTTCGTTGATTAATGTTTATATTTTTTTCTTATTCCATGGTCTATAGTGGATACTAGAGATGTTACGGAAGTGGTTGTATCGAAACCGAATTCGGAAACGGAGTTTTTAAATTTTGTTTGTCGGAATCGGAACCGGAATCGGAGGTAGAGGCGGAAGAGATGTGTTATATATATATAGGGCAGGTCTATTGCACTGTATTTTATTTTTCAGTTTAAAACTTTTCGAATTCTTCTAATTCAGTGGTATGCACAGACTTTAAATGACTTTCTAACGAAGTAGTCGTACCTCCCTTTCGTGAATATATCTTCTCACATAGTTTACACTTTGCCGTACTCCCAGAAACTTCATTTAAATAATTCCAAATGGCACTTGATTTTGGCTTCATTTTCCAATTGCCGAATACGAAACAAAACATCAAGTTTAATAGTAATAGAGAGAAGGCACGGGGGGGGGGGGGGTTCCCGGGGCGACAAGTAACTTATTTGTACACGCTGATCGCGGCCGTCACCGCCACTCACAGATTACTGTATACCAGCCGCCACTGTGCACTGACCTCCGATATATAACTTCCGATTAAATTTTTACGGAACTGAAATCGGAATCGAAGGTGCAAAATCAATCGGAAGTTCCGAATTTTCGTAATCGGAATCGAACCTCCGTAACATCTCTAGTGGACACTCACTGTTAAATAGAATGCAAGTTTCTTTCACTCTAATAATTGTACAAGAAAAATTAAAAAATTGTAATGAAACACTCAGTTCAGTGCACTTGCATTTTCATATTTTTGTAAAAGACGTACTATGGATGTTTCAATTTGGAACAGCGTGTTTTTTTATTAAAGTTGAGTGACAAACGAACTTCAGTCCTCGTGATGGTAAGTGACTATTGCAATCCATGAGCCAACTTCAAACAAAGAAGGCGACAGGCATTGTCATCTGTGTTACTTTTGAAGACTAGCATGGAATGCTTTACAGTCTGTAATTATACAAAACAACGCAATCGCGTTACGTCTATTTGCGTATTTTAAATAATTTAACGATGTGCAGAAAGCCAATAGATGCATTTAGGCGATTACTGTATTTAGCAGATAAAAAATATTTATGTATATTATAAACACCTTTCAGGTCGCCGATTTACGAGAATTAGATGACTTCGCAGAAATATCCACAGAAATAGACAACTTGGAATTGTACCAGATGGCAGTCAAACAACTGGAAGTTGGAATTCCGTACAGGTAGGTAGTAGGTAGTAGTAGTAGGTGTGTTTTATGTTAATGATATCGTGCGACTATCGAAAACATTTTCAGTCTTAAACGTAATACGCACGTACCTATTACATATTGTATTGGGGGTTTCTAAGTACCTAATTATAAGTACCTGGGCGACAGGAATGGATGACACCTATCTAGAAAATCTTTAAAAATGAACATTATTTGTTATTCGCTATATTCGTTATATCGCTAGAGTTGACATAATATAAAGTAGGATTAAATAATATAACGTGAATTTTTTTAAATCTTGTGACTTGGTGAATTTTCAATTTTAGGACAAATTAAGTATAGGTAATTCACATACTTAAACAACATGATTATTTGAATGAGAACCTTTATAGTCTAGTGACGGGAGTAACCCGTCTGTCCAACATGGTGAGTACGGGAAAATTTGCCATATAACGTTTGCACATGCTGGCACATTTTAGGTAAAGCATATATGCAGCAGTAGACTTAAAAAGATTGAATACATAATGTTATATATCATTTACTGTGAGTTTTATTTAAAAAAAAAACTACATAGTTGTGTAAATGAAATTAGAACTCGCATACGCGGAATGGTATCGGTTAAGAACACTAGCTCCGAATGAGATTCGATGAGAGAGCATATAGTCCATGTCTACTTATCAGTCGGCGTGTGGCAGGTATTGCGGCGGATAGGAATTGTACATACTCATGAGTATGTACAATGCCCACCCGCAAAGGCATCGACGTGTATGTGTGCAAGGTGAGATGTGGTTTCCGCAGGACGCTGCGCACGAGCGTGGTGCAGTGCGCGTCGGACTCGGAGTTCGTGTGCAAGCTGCACTGCCTGCGCTTGGGATTCGCGCGCGTGTTCCGCGACGCCGCCAACTGGGCCTGGTTTGTGGACGCTGGCCGCCAGGTGCTCACCGACCTGCTGCTCTTCGCGGACAAGGTACACACACACACACACACACACACACACACACACACACACACACACACACACACACACACACACACACACACACACACACACACACACACACACAAGCACGCACGCATGCACGCACGCACGCACGCAAGCACGCACGCACGCACGCACGCAAGCACGGACGCTCACACGCGGCACACACGCGCAAACACGCTCACACACGCTCACACACGCGCACTCACGCGCACGCACACGCGCACGCACCCGCACACACACACACACACACACACACACACACACACACACACACACACACACACACACACACATCATGGACTTTTTTATCATTATTATTGAGTTATTACTAGGAAGATGTTGCACAACTCTTGATTCAGTTTCCCTCTCTTATGACACCCACGGGATGGTACAAGTCGTTGCACGTAAGTGTAGCGCTGTACGAAACGTGGATGGGAACGGGTACTGTCGCGCACGAATTGAATCGCACGAATGCGACTGAAAAGCCAATCAGGGCGTGCGAACGATACGCACGAACCAATCAGCGTGACTTATGCGCAATAAGCCAATCAGCGCGACTTATGTGCAATAGCGGTCACCGCTAGACTTTCGTGCCGCTATTTATATATGGAGGTGAATTCTCTTACGCTGCCACTTTTTTTTTCTGTTCAAACTCTAATACAAAAAAGTTATGTAGATTTTATATTATCATTATCTTCGTTATATTATGCATTTTAGGAACCAAAGGAATTTCTTGTTGCATACGAAGAAATGGTTTCGTGGGCCACAGACGCCGCTAATTGGACTACAATAGAAAAAGAGCTTTCCAGTAAAGGTGTTAAGGTATATCTTCTTTCTTTAATATACCTACATCGATAATTAAAATTCTATTTGTTTACACATGTGACGCAGTGTCATGATGCTGTAAGAAAATCTATCAAACTGTCTGTAGGGCGTCGCAAAAGATAAGGGAAACGTCCTGATTATCTTGTTGCCCCTGATAGGTCCGTTATAACTATCCCATATGACCCAAAATCCAGACCGACGACAGGCACCCATATCGAAGCTACAAGATGTCTGGTACTGCGATTGCCAATCAGTCTGCCAAATGGGGCGATTATGATAAGTCCTCACTATTATAAGTGAGGCTTTTCTATGGGCGTCAAATCTTTACTGCCTGAAAAATATGATGGAAATAATTTAGGAAAATCGCCTGTTCCGCGACTGGTTCAGATGGATCTGTGGTTGGCTGCTATTTATTGTAAACTGTTGGCGATCCTCAATAAATAAATATTTAGTCAAGCTGATAACAAGTACCTACTGTTATATTGTACCTATGAACACGTGCATTTAACTTCAAAGAATATTATTGTACACGCCCCTAGTTGCCCCGACAAAGGTCAAATATCCCGGGGCCCATCAGCGGTAGATTCGACGGACAACTAAGGGTGGGGCTCGAAATGCCTATGGATAATCAATATATACGGAAGAGGTAATTAATTCGACTTACTTGGTTCAGAAGCGAAGACTGGCCACAAGGCTCGGTCAGGCGGTAGATGTAGTGTATGTAAGTGGTGTTTAGTGGTGTGTAAAATGTGAAACCTGACTTAACCCTTTTAATCGGCAGCAGCCCTGACTCCGGCACCGCCACACGCTGTGGTATCCTCCAGGGGCGTCACCTCGATGTCACTCAAAGTCTAGCATCCCTTAGCACAAATCTATAATCTAATTCGAACGCTGTTTCTCGCGGGTCACAAAGTTTAGCGTTTTTAACCGACACAGGAAAATATCTCCGAGTTACATCAAATGTCACAAAGCAACTCATCGACGCAAATTAATATTTTCAAAGCACTTCAACCGGCAATCACTATACAATTTACGTAAATTACTTGCCAACGAATTTAAGTTAATCAATCAAAATATTACGGCTTCGTTATCGCGTGAACGCACTAAAGATAACCAAACATTAGAAGCGAAAAACTACAATAGTAAATTCTACGCGTCTTTTCGACCGGCAGTTGTTCACTATTTCAGTCTATCAACTTTATTGTACATATAATTAACACGTCCGCAATCAGAACTCAAAATTCGCCTCGTTGAATCGCCCGTTTTAAATGCCCATGTTTGGGCCTAAACAATTATATATTCATTATCATTCAGAGAACTCCGGTGAAATGCCTTATTATATTTCTAGTAGCTCTTACCCTGTAAACCGGAACATAACATAGAGTGCACTTAATGAAGGTTAAATTTACAGCCTTTATAAGTCCCACTGCTGGGCGCAGGCCTACTTTCATTTCTAAGAGGGTTTCAGGGCAAGAAAATGTCCGCCGCGCTACCCCAATGTTTGTTGATGAACGTGGCACGAGCACGTGGTAAATCAGCTCTTAGAATTGCAATTAACAATTTTATTGGTGCCGGCGGGGATCAAACCCGGGTTGCCCGTGTACTGTGAAACTTACCGCGAGTGCTAACCATCTGAGCTACCGCGGCTTTTCTTTAATGAAGGTAACATGGTTTATTTCAAAGCATGATGTTTTAAATTTTAATTGTACCCTTACTCGCATTCAACAGACTATGATCTGTGCGCTTAACCGTTTGGGATTTCAGTGGAATTTCATTGGGAATAGTTTGGCGTCTCAGAAATAGTAAATTCAAATATTTTAGTTTATAGCTAAATTTAAAAAATGGAGTAGAAACTAGAAAATAACTTCCCTGCAAAATGCCTTGATTTTACACACAACACATTTAACGGAACAACGGGGCATTTTTTCGTTTTTTCTTTTGCTTTAAAATGGGTCCACATGACGTGTGTACTCTGCGCTCATAAGCATATAATAGCAATTAAAACCGTCTTTGAAATAGCGTATGTTGGGTGAGTGCGATCACCTCCGCGTGTGTTTCCACCGCGTGTGTAAGCGTGAGTGTGGGTGCAGGTGCTGTCGTGCTACGACGTGGTGCTGGACTTCATCCTGCTGGACGCGTTCGAGGACCTGGCGGCGCCGCCCTCCTCCGTGCTGGCCGTCGTGCGCAACCGCTGGCTCTCCGATGGCTTCAAAGAGAGCGTGACTACCTCTTTATTATTTTAGATTGATGTTTATATTTTATCGTCTATAATATATTATATTTACCCGCCCTCAATAAATTATTATATACAAATTTATTTTATTTATTCTATATTTCTTTCTTTTATTCAATTTATTTTCTTTTATTCTATTTCATTCAAATTTATTTTTGTCGACGCATTATTGTAAATACAAATCTAATCTACGAGTATATGTATAAATAAAAATCAACGTACGCTTATTGTGTAGACCCTGGATGGATTAGATTCACAATTGTACCCAGTAGGTGGCGCTGTTGTAGAGATTCAGAAATCCGGGGTGGATCGCTAGTATTATATAAAATAATATCTCATACTGGCTCTGTTATAAATATAATCATTATAATATTTTTCTTATATAATTTTTTATTTACAACGATGATAGTGATAGACCTTATTTACATTTTCATTTGTCGCTTCTACATTAAAAATTGTCAATTTGGTCATTTAAAATTTTCGTCCCATTGTACATTTGCTGTTACAATTGTTGCAGGCGCTAACAACGGCCGTGTGGTCAGTTATAAAGGCGAAGCGCCGCTACCTGCAGTACCCGGACGGCTTCATGGCGCATTTCTATTCGATCTCCGAGCATTTGCTGCCAGTGCTAGTGTGGGGCTTTTTGGGTCCCCGGGAGCGTCTCCGCGACGTTTGTAATGCCTTCCAGAACGAAGTCGTCGGCTTCATCACGGATCTGTTCAGTTTCCAGAAGTGTCGCTACACCAATGTCGAAGACTTAGCCGAGGACATCATGCAGCACGCCAGGTCTAGAGCCGCGAATATCACGGATAAGTTGTCCGAGAGGAACTAACTCGAAGCAAGATAAGCAGTTCCAGTCCAGCTTTGACTTGTTTAGTTGCATAAGTCCTAAGTGATTCTACGTCTCGCCAGATATATAGGGTTAGCTTATTTCGATAAACTGCCTGCTAAGCATTAACTCAATATTTAAGTACTAAGTTTTAAATGTGTTTATTTATGAATGAATAGAAAAAGTAGTATCAATATAGCGTATAATATCTAATGGATGATTTACTCTAACTACAGTATTTATTATGTACATCAAATAGACATTGAAAAATCATAATATATTTCAATAAGATAGTCAATCATAAAGCATATTTTTACAAGCTTGGGGTTCGAGACTATTAATGACCTGCCGATTGAATTACCAAAATTGACACGTTAATTACACAACACTAATTACAATCTAAAACCACACTAATAAAACACAATTGTACTACTGATCACTTAAGTTCGCAGTTGTTTCGCTTCGAAGTATTCTCTTGTATCGCCAATTCAATACTGACTCGGTCGTGGTCTATACCGGCCTTATATAGGGCCTCAGATTGTTTCCAGCACCTTCTACTGTAGAGACCTTTAATGTAGCGGCGGCGCCCTTGAAAAGATGCGGCACGTGCCGAGGTAGTGCGACACTAATGCGACCGTATCTAAGCAAACAGACTATACCTAGTAAAAAGTAATTACATTATTAGAAAATCACAATTTCATTGCATGAAAATAATAATATAAATAACATTTACAATACTATAAGCTAAAGTGTAGATGCAGTTAGCTGTGAATAAATACTATATTATAATATGTAAGGTATTCTGTTACAAGTACGTATAAAACATAAATGAAGTATAAAACGGACCATTTAAACACTTTTTGTTTCCTTTAATTGATTTATAATAATATAATAAAACGATCAATAAAATAAAACAAATCGTGTTTAAATGGTAAAATAGATCAGTAGTACCTGATTAATTTAGCGTACAATCATAATCATTATTTAATTATAATGTTTCCAATTTTATATTTATTCCGCCAAAATCGTAATCATGATGTACGCGAAAATTTTAAGATTTGTAAAAAGTAATGCTTGTGGAGGTTGTGCTCGAGATACTGTTTTTCTGTCATTGAAGACTCTTTTTACCCGACTGCCCCAGCCTCTTTTTTGGGTATTAGTTTGATTGTACCTCATTGTACCGTCTATAGCTAAACGGTTGAGACAGATTTTGAAGTGTGAGGTGTCGTTAGATTTGTCCCCAATGTTCCCGCTTGGAGGAAACTACATTTTAATAACACGCTCGAAAAACGTTCTCATGAACGTGCCATTCACTAGATCACTGTCATTGGCTTTTTTTTTAAATAGAATAAGGGTGACAAACGAGCACACAGTCCACCTGATGGTGTTGTGTGAAGTGGTTGCTGTGGCCCTCAGACATCTACGTCTATCCTCGATTACGAAACAAAATGCAGTTGCGTTGTCACCCGTGAGGAGTAAGATGGAATGCCTCGTTTCCAGTAAAAAGGGTCTCCGGTTCTCAACACTCACCATACGAAACACAGTATCGTTAAGCTGCTATTTTACGCTGTAATTCTGTGAGAGCGTGGTCCTTCCCCGGTCGAGCCGACCCATTCGTGCTACAACTATATTAGTAATATAGCTGCAGTATGGATCTACCACGTTTAAACTTGATGTTAAGTAGATACTGTGGCCCATAGACATCTATCTAATACTGTCTTCAATAAGTCAATAATAAAATCCTCAATAAAGAATCAAAATCCAGTTGTCGTTGTCATCCCTAAGGACTAAAATGGAATGCCTCATTTCCAGTTACCAGATTATTGGTTTTCTACACTCACGAAACACAGCAGCATTAAGCTGTTTTTTTTTCTCAATGATTAGTTAATTTACTTAATGGTTTTATAAATGCGGTAGGTGAACGTAACATGGTGATAAAGCAACGTGTATTTTAAGACCGCAAGTGGTAAAATTCAATATAAATTATTAAGGATTACTCAAAACTTCCGAGACTTTCAATTAAATTTAGATCAATTTAGATGAAAGGCACCCGCTTTCAAATACAAAAGAATCATCAAAATCGGTTTACCTAGAAAAAAGTTATGAGGTAACCTAAAAAATATAGTAGAATTGAGTACCTCCTCCTTTTTGAAGTCGGTTAAAAGTATTGACATTTAAATCAAGTACATTTTCTAATTGTTAAAATTATCAATAAATATAAAGACAATTACGTTTGTAATATGTGCACCTATTTTTAATTCGATCTTTATTATAACAACAAACACTTCCACTTAGTTTTTAATTGTAAGAGAAACCAAACTTGCAAAACTTTTTTAACGTTACTGCAATCGACATTATATAACCGTTGTAGAGAACCATATTAATTTTAAGCGTTTCATAATAATTATTGTAAATGTAAAATGTTATTTCATAACATTTTTTTTTGTAGGAGAGCGGGCAAACGAGCATGCGGCTCACCTGATGGCAAGTGACTACCGCCACCCATGAACAACCGCAACACCTGGGGAATTGCAGGTGCGTTGCCGACAAAAGTGTAATTATTTAAATAAGTACTTATCATCATCATCATCATCATCATTACAGCCTTTCATAAGTCCACTGCTGAACAGAGGCCTCCCCCAAGGAATGCCATAAAGCACGGTCCTGAGCCACCTGTATCCATCGACTTCCTGCATGTCTTACCAGGTCGTCACTCAATCTCGTGGGGGGTCGCCCTACACTTCGCCTACCGGTACGAGGCTGCCATTCAAGAACTTTTCTTCCCCATCGGTTGTCGGTTCTTCGAGCTATATGGTCCGCCCACTGCCACTTCAGCTTACTAATCCGTTGGGCTATGTCGGTTACTCTGGTTCTACTGCGTATATACTCATTTCTAAGTTTATCACGCAGAGAAACCTCGAGCATAGCCCTCTCCATAGCTCGCTGAGTGACCTTGAGCTTCCTCATACAGCCAGCAGTGAAGGACCACGTCTCAGATCCGTAAGTCATCACTGGCAACACGCACTGGTTGTCCAATTTCGTTTTAAGGTTTTGAGGTATGTCTGACGAGATGATGTGTCGTAGCTTCCCGAACGCTGCCCAGCCGAGTTGAATCCGTCGATTGACCTCTCGGTCGAAGTTGGAATTACCTAGTCGGACTATTTGTCCCAGGTAAACATACTCGTCAACAACTTCGAGCTTAGTGCTCCCAACAAATACCGGCACAGGTGTGACATGGGCATTAAACATGATCTTTGTTTGTCCATGTTCATCCTAAGACCTATTCGTTGGGAGACACTATTGAGGTCATTGAGCATGGTGCTTAGGTCCTCCGGCGATTCTGCCATAAGGACTATATCGTCGGCAAATCGAAGGTGAGTGATGTACTCGCCATTGATGTTAATACCGTATTCTTTCCAGTCCAGATGCTTGAAAACGTCTTGCAATACAGCGGTGAAGAGTTTCGGGGATATAACATCACCCTGTCTCACACCTTTCTGCAATTGGATAGGTTTCGTACTCTGGTTCTGTACTCGGATAGCCATCGTAGCTCTACTGTACAAATACTTCAGCACTTCGATATACCGACAGTCAAGTTGGCACCGCTGAAGGGACTGCAGCACCGCCCAAATTTCGACGGAATCAAAGGCTTTCTTATAGTCCACATACGCCAGACATAATGGAAAATTGTACTCCTCGGACTTCTGTATAATTTGTCGAAGGGTATGTATGTGGTCTATGGTGCTAAAGCCTTTTCGGAAACCGGCTTGTTCGGGAGGCTGGAAGTCGTCAAGTCTTCGCGCGAGACGATTCGTAATGACTCTCGAAAACAGCACGTAGACGCGGCTCAGAAGGGAAATCGGTCTATAGTTTTTCAAGAGAGCGTTGTCGCCTTTCTTGAAGAACAAGCTCACCGCACTTCTGCTCCACGCCTCCGGTGTAATGCCACCACGGGGGACGGAATTAAAGAGCTTCTGAAGGACTTCAAGTACCGGTTTTCTACCCGCTTTCAGAAGCTCCGCTGTAATTCCATCAGTTCTTAAGGTGCTGGAGAGACATTCTAATCTCGCTCAGACTGACGTCTGGGATATCTTCGGAATAGTGTCGGATAAGACTCGCTCTTGGATCGTTACTCACACTTGCGTGAGGCTCCAGCGATGTCGTGTACAGCTGCCCATATTACTTCTCAATCTCACTCAAAATCTCAGGTGCCCCGGAAACGACGCTGCCACACTCGGTCTTCAGCTTCGACAGTTGGCTCTTAACATGCTTACGCTTCTTCAATACAAGCTGTATTGAAGTTGCGGAAGTCCCGCATTTGGAGATCTGTCTGCTCAGTTGCCTGTATGCTGTCGAATCTGTTGAAGAATGTAGCTTCATCTCTCGTCTAACAACTATGAGATTGAGAGTGTTATCGGAGAGTTCTTGTGTTCTTCTGCGGCGGGTCTTGCAGAACTTACCGCCGCATGGACAGTTTCCACGAGCTTGTCATTCATATCGTCCACTTCATTGCAGTCTTCTAGGCACTGAAAACGGTTTTGTAACTCGAGCTGAAAGGTTTCGGGACTTTGGAACAGAGCACGAGGGGGACGGAGCGTTGACTTCATTAGACGAGACCTCTCCAACTTAACGTTTAGGTTCAGTGTGCCTCTAACCATTCGGTAATCGCTACCAGTTTTCATCCTCGCGATCACGGAGACATCACTGAACAGTTGTCGTCTGATCGTCATAATGAATTCAATCTCATTTTTTGTGGAACCGTCTGGGCTCGACTATGTCCACTTCTTATCCCAAATTTCCCTACTTTCAACTCACCGTTCTCGCTTGTGCCTAGTTTTGCATTGAAGTGTCCCATTAATACCGTATATTGGGTTTTGGAGGAATGCATGGCTCTAGAGATATCCTCATACATTTCCTCCACCTACTCATCGGGGTGTGCCGAGGTTGGTGCGTAAACCTGTATGACCTTCAGCGAATACCGTTTGGTGATTCTGAGTATAAGA